TTTGCAGGTTGTTCAGGAGAACATCTGGAGGTGCCCACTTTTCCTGGAATGCCTGTTTTGATTGTTTAAGGAAGGGTGGGGGGAAGAGAAGGCTTTCCTTTTCAGCTGGTAGACATCTACTGGCCTCAAAATTCAGGAACAATCTGTTTTCAGCTGTAATATTCCTACCTTCTGGGAGCCTTCTTCCTCCTCCAAAGCAAATACAAACTTAAATTTTTCTGAGCATGGAAGGAGTATCTCAATGACCTATGCCTAACACCACTGACACAGTTTGGCATCCTGACATGAAGCCTGGATTTGTTTTCTTAAAGACTCCCACTAGGTAAACCCCATGGAAAAACCAACCCTTGACAGCTATTAGTGTTTGGCCATCACCTTTTACAGCAAAGTGTGATGGTGTGGAGACTAGGAGGGGCAGTTCTTTTGTTTGTGATGGAGCCAGCCTTGCTGCCTGTTTTTTTTTTTTTTTTTTTTTTTTTTCCCCCTTAATTATTTTATATATAAATATATATATATATATATTTGTTCCTGTCCTGAAGTGATATATTTTCAGAAGCTGTATCACACAACTGGGAAGAAAAGGTGACTCCATGGATATTCAGACAGATGTAGAGATCCACTTTACACAGCAAAGTAGGCAGTGTAGGCTGATTATTGCAGTAAGATTTGCCAGAGGCAGCCCTGGCAAGAGTGGCAAAGAATGAATCCACAGGGTGTTTGTGTCGCAAGGGGACCCAGCTATAGCTCAGCCAACAGTGAGAGCCCTGTTGCTTACTGTGGGGTGCAGTCCTGGTGGAACTATGTACTGTGCTCTGCTCTTCGAGGTTAGCAGACTGCTTCGTAGTTATGTTCTTGGGATTTAAGCAAAATAGATCTTCTGAAACCAAAATGATCCTCTTTAACTGAAATAGATTCCTGACGAGGGACTGGGCTTTAATTAGCATGTCCAAATAGAGATTTAGGGGCCTATTGTTTGCCCTTTTGTTTGAAAATGATGCCCTTTACTTTTTTTATCTTATCCAAGTCCAGAAACCATACCTGCATTTGGCTGTGTGTTTTCCGGCTTTGTTCTAATAATGCTTGACCTGCCCACGTAACTTAACTGACTGGGTATGAGGGTTGTGCCTAGTCATCGCAATAACTCACATGCATTGACAAAGGTGACAGAAACAAGTTTTAATGACAATGTAGAGGGTAGAAACCCTATTCAAGAGGAAATATGTTTCCATATGTCAAACGCCGAGCAATTTAACGGAGGAAGCAATTATACCTTGCAGTGCTGCTGGAGTCCGGCGAGTGCTTCTCTGTTTTGTGGGTACCCACACACCGACAGTTTGCCGGCGTATGAACTCAGCGCATTGATTGCTGCCGCTTGAACTCTGGACTTGCCTTTCTCATTGGTTGTTTGCTTTAACCACAGCGCTGAATGGAGCCTTTGGAGACTATCACAATGTAAATAAATACATGTGTGTTTGTTTCTAGCCTGCTTTTTTTTTTTTTTTAAAAAAAAAAAAAAAGTGTGTGTCAAAGAAGGGGGAAAAGCTGTCAAGCATGCATTTGCATGCCTTTGAGATGCAGGAGGTACAGGAAGCGATGGGTTTAAGGGAGGGCTAGGAAAATCATTCAATAGGGGTATAACAATAGGGAAACAGAGTGGTTAGGTGTTGTTAGATTAGATTAGGGCAGATTTATTTAGAAAGTGCTATTCATTTTGCTGTTAATCATGTAGAGGTACTTAAAGCTTACAAAAAAAAAGTCTTATTCTGCAAATGAGCATGATTACTTCTTTTTTGTTGTGTTATCATCCATTGAAAAATATTACATTTATTTATTTATTTATTTTAATTTTCTTTATGGAAAAAAGGCTAGACTGGAACTAGATAATGAAAGGTGGCAGTAAAATTGTTCAGTCATACTAAATTGCTCTGCTGCCATGATTGTCCCTAGGCTGGATTTCTGTTCATCTTTTGCATTAGCGATATTTTTCTTTGTGTTTTTGCCCTTGTTGTTATAATTTTAAATGTGATGAAATATGCTGACTCTACAAAGTTTTATGTTACAGCAAAGGAGAGACTGCAAATAGAAAAGAACAAATGAATTCATAGTTGGCAGGGGCTAATTTTGTGTAGTTACTAGCTTACATCATGGGTTTCTCTGCCAGTTAGCTGTTCAAAAGTAAAATAGGAGGCATGGCATGGCCTGAAACTGAGGGAAAGGTTGGAGTTTCAGAGACAGCCTCTTCACACCATTGCCAAATCACCTCTCATTTACATTACATTTGCAGGCATAAAATAGGACACAAGTCTGATGGCTGCAAACAATCCTTCTCGATATTTGTGCTTTTCCTTCAAAGATTTTACTTACTGTAAACTTCCTGAAATTTGCTGTGAGGGAAAAACCTGGCATAAGATGTGGCTGTGAAGCATCACAAAGCCTAACAAAATGTCCTGTGATGAAACCTCCTCACCTGTCTAATGTACCCACAGCTGCTTGCAGAGCTCCCTAAGAGAGCCTGGCTCTGAAAAGCCACGCTGCAGGGTGGTGGGGGTGCCATAGCCAGCAGACACCCTTCTGCTACTTGCTTCTGGTACCTCTCTTTTATTCTAATTTTCTCCTGGGTTAGCTATTCCCTCCTGTCTGAGCATTGAATAGATGCATGATTGCATCTTGCTTACAGTCTGTTAATCCAGCTGTGTGTGAGGACTTCTTTGCTCCCTTGTACTGCAACTAAAGCCACCATCAGCATAATCTGAAGGCAGCAGGTGGTTCGTCATCAGAGCTTCTCCTGGTCTGCAGCCTGAGCTGGCCCTGCACACTCAGTCACCTCTCTTTAACCTGCACCATTAGTGAACAAACAGAAAAGAGGCTCCTGCATTTCTCAAAACAGGTCTGTCTTGCTGGAAATGGACCTATTTATGATCTTTGGTAAATACAAGTGTTTGTCAATATATTATTTTATTAGCATAGTTTTTCCTTGAGTCTTAAATGCTGGCCTATTAATCCACATTAGTTGACTGTTCTGCTTTCTGTCTATTGATTTCTAAACCAAATTTGAGCCATCTATTAAGTGCTATAAAACTGTGTGAAGACTGGTACTTACTGGCTTAAGTTAAACTTCAGGATGGATTTGTACTTCCCAGCATTTCCTTTGTCCCACTTTGCTGGATCAGTTTCCAGCTTCCCTGAAAAAGAATGTCTTGTCTCCCTTCTGGTTTTGCTATTTCCTTTTGTTGGCTGAAACATTTAATAAAAATGTTACAGCAAGTGAGAGCCATACACAAAAGTGTAAGTGGAGGGAGTTTCTCTGGCTGAACAATACAGAAGGTCACATTTGGCAACCATTTCTGAATGTATTTTCAGATCTGCCTCAATTCTTAGCAGAATACAATCATCAAGATTTTTTTTCCCCTTTATTTGATTGAATAACTTATTTTAGGCAAGATGAAGAAAAATCCTTTTTGTATTTTTTTTTCTTTTTTGATTTTTGTGCTGATGTCATCTTATTTGCTCTTTGGTCACCCACAGAGTATTTTGTGGTAGAAATATGGTCGCATGGTAACAAGCCAGTGGACGCCCTGTCCCTGGATTGCTTTTCAGGAGCAGAAAAAGGCAGTTCTCCCATCATCATTGTGCACTCCACCTTGCTTTAAAGACAGAAGAGGGGAAAATGAGACGAATGCTCTTCCTGCCCCTTCACAGTCAGTCATCTCTAAGCATGAGGTGCTGGCCTGAGAAAGTTGCTGGCCCAGCAGGGCTGCAGCATGCGTGGAGCTGCCGCTCCTCCTCGCCTGTGCTTGCAGTAGTTCTGAATCATTTAGGTGGGATAGTCCTGAAAATGTGGCACGGTCAGGTACTGGGTGCTGCTCTCCCGAAGGACTTGCCTGTGCTGGTAGGATGGGTGCATGAGAAGGGCGCAGGAGGTGGCTGTGTCAGGGTTTGGTCTCTTTGGGCTTGCTGGAGCTGTGTCAGCGCAAGCTGTGTGTAGGAGGCTAGGACAAGTGTGGTGAAAGCCACAACAGAGGATCCCTCTCATCTCAGCGCGAGGCATCTCTACCAGGGCTTTGTGGTATTGCAGCTACGTAAGTGTGGTTCAAGCAACATGAAGCAAAACCCTTTCAGATATCACAGATCATCCTCATTTTGAAAGTTCCTCATCACTTCAATCCTCCCCCACCTCCCAGCCTCAAAATCCTCAGCATCACGCTCAAGGCTAAGCATGACAAATCTCACCCTCGTTTTTACTCTTGTTGCACACATGTCCCATGCTATAGAGGCTGTGGCACTCCTTTTGTACCAATTTCCTGCTTTCAAGGTATGGCCACTGTTTAGTGCTCCCCTCATTCATATAGTTACTCGAAAACTGCACCTTTCTCTATTTTGCGTGAATTTGACAAAGTGTGAAACGTGTGCCCCAGAAACCTAACTGTAACCACCTGCCGTTTTCTCCATAGTTACGTGTAAGCAAACCCATTACAAGTATTTGTATCTCTGCAGTGGGTGCCAAGGAGACATCGAGCCTTTCTGAGCCAATCCTCTGTTATTCTAGCATGAAAAAAAAGCCGCACTGATGTAGGAACCCTGCCCTCTTGTCTTTCTACTGTGTCAAGAATTCATATTGTAGCTATGACAGTTTGTAAATCACACCACTGTTGGTAGAGATAGATACCCAAATTTGTCCTAGTTCTAGGTCTGGAAGGGGCTTAATTTCACAGACTTAGCAGCTGTAGCTATTTTTGAAAATGTTTAAAGTCTGCATGTACCTGGATAAACTTTAGAGGACCTTTTTTAGCCCTTATTTGAGCTGTGTGTTTCAATGGTTATGCTAGTGACCTTTTCCATTACAAGAATTCATGTTAATTCATGGCAAGCCAGAACATTATTATAAACCTCTTGACTGTTCCGTTTTTTAGGGCTTTGAAATGTAATCAGAAGTGGATTTATCTGATACTAGGAGATGAAACAGTTACCAGCCTTAGGTTTCCTCCCTTTTATTTTTCTAGGAGGTTACTGCCAGAGTAAACTGAAATTGGAGGTGGTTTATGTTAATGCTGCAGCCTGCAGACTGCACTTGCTCAGGAGTTTATCCAGCAGGATCAGCTGATCCCGCTACAGGATGGTGACCTCTGGCAGAGACACAGGACAGAGACAGCTGCTTCAGCTCTCCCAACTAAACCTGCTTAAGGCGGTGAGTGGGAGTTGTTAATACCACTATTTGTTTAATTGTAGGGCTGATAGAATTTTTGTGTGTTTTATTACAATAAAATGCATGAAGTGGAAACAGAGGTAAAATTGAGTGTGCTACTTGGGAGCTGGTTCTCAATTATGATTCCTCTTTGTTAACCAGGCCCTAAAATGAAAAGTAACCAGAAGCATATTTGGCTTCAAATTTTGCAGTGGTGTAACAAGGCAGCCCACCCTGAAAGGTCTGGTGCCACTGGAGTGCACAGTGCTTTTAGGAATACAGGGCAAGGGTGAGTTTTTTATTAGCTTAGTCTTCTTATTTTCCTCCAAATATAGATAGGCACTTCTCAGCTTTAGTACTTGAGAAGAGACAGCCAAGAGTGCCCTGGAAGCTATTTGCTAGGGAAGTCTGTTAGAAAAATGGGAATCCAGAAGACACTTCTACTTTAATGAAGAGAGGATAAAGTTTTTAATGATGATAGCTTTATGGAAGTGGAGACCCTTCCCTTCCTCCCTCTTCCCCCATAGCTCCCTTTATAAACAAAACAGAGATAAACCAAATACTCATTTCAAAAGCTACTGCAGGGATCCCATTGGCGTCATGTGCTGACATGTGAAGTGCTGCATCCTTGTTTCAATGCGCCCAAGCCCTGAAACTCCTAGGGACAAACACGTGTGCTGTGGGAGCTCCATCCTGTGCTCAGGCTCACTGCAAATCTGCAAGTAATGGTCCACCAGACTGAGAAGCTGGGGGCACTTGGCAGTGGAAAGTACCTTGCCCATACTGGAGATGGTGACAGAGTTGGCAATGAGGAGGTGACTAGTCATTCTGTGAGCCCTGGTCTGGGGCCAGTTTTCATTTTCGTCTTGTTCTCTTTCTGTTTTTCTTTCTCTCTCACTTTTGTTATTTATACCAATGAGCAAATGTTGCTTATTTTTAGCAGCCTTTCCATTTTGCTCAGGCACTGATCCTCAGTAATGGAATGCCTGTGGCCCTCCCCAGGGCACCATCCCATGTCTAATAAGAGCAGACAAATGCAAGCTTTGGTGTAGGGAGCTATTGATTTGCTTCCAGGCAAGTAGGGCGTGTGTGATACATGTAAAAGGTGCCCATGCATACTTTATATTAGCAGTCTAACATCTTAGTAAATGGCCTTGCATGATCTGCCTTGGGCTGTTGATGATAAATTATTTCTTTATGTTATATATTTCCATAAAGCAAGCAGACTTGCAACTTGCTTATTTTAAAGTGTGTAAAACCAATAATAAAAAAACAAACACGCCCAAATACCCACACCTATTTCCACAACCAGAGCAAAAGCAAAGTCTCCCTCAAGTGTGGACAGTTTCAGTTCTGAGAGGAGCAAAGGAGGTGGACCAATTCATCAAAACAGATGTAAGAGTTACTTAGACAGGGGTATGATGTTAGCTGTCCCTTTATTTTTCTGTTTCTCTTCTAGATCTTGTGTCACAGAGTTATTGCAGAGATGCTGACATGAAGGGCTATAGAGGAAGCGGTTATGGGAGGACTTCCTCTGAGGTGTGCCCAAGGAACCTTTGCCTCACAGATTAGCAGCTGACCAGCAGCACCTTTCAGTTTCCACTGAATGGCCTAGCAGTTTATGTCTACTTTTCTGCTGTGCTCTGGCTGCTGCCTATTGCGGTTCAGGCTGGGAAGAAACCAGGTGGAGAGGTTGTCCCATGCCCTCACGTCACTGGGATCCCACCCAGCCTGCAGGCATGGCTGCACAAGTGCTTGGATCCCTCAGTAGGACTTAGACTAAATACTTTCCATAGTTATTTATTTATTTTTTTTTTTATTCCTCATTTTCAGTCCTGACTCATTTTGATAGGCTTAGAGGCCTACGTCATGTGTGCTTAATGCTGGCAGAAGAAACTGATTTGCTGCTGACAGAGGAAGGCTACGATAGAGGGACATTGCTCAGGTACAGCCAGATCAGCGGATGGTCCAGTGCTTAAATTGCTAACACTGTGTCTACACAACTGCTCTCACTTTTGCCACTGCTAGGGAATTACCACAGAGTGCAATTGAAACATATTGCAGACAGCAGGAGGAGACCAAAGCTTGTTCAGGGAAAAAGATATGCTGCCTTTGAGAGGGACCTGAATACCTTTTCTGCTGTAGGTCTTTGTGGTCTTTCCTTCTTTTGCCTTGCTCCAGTTGCTGCTGGTTTTAGCCTCGCTCTGGTGGATCTTTGTGGCATAGCAGCTCTGTTCTCTGCCTACCCCCTGTCTTGTTGCTGTCATTCAGGATCCAGCTCTTATTAACAATCCTGAACCTGGTGGAAGTGGGAAGGTATCTTTTCTAAAGCTGCTCTTTTTAAAATTCAGCCCTATTTGTATGCTATGATGTGCACGTCTCTCTGCCCCCAAATTATTAAAATTGCAGCACAGTTGTCCGAGGTTTATTTTTCAGTAAATGACTCTTATAACTGGCATTCAGATTGACTACCATCTTAGTCTGAAATGCAGCAAGACATTTAACATGTGTGGGATACGATACCCATCTCAAATACATTCAATACTGCGTCAGGAGATGTTTTCATATTTTCAGGTAAGCTGGCTGGTGTTGGGGAAAAAGGTTAGGCTATTAACACCTCTGCTCAAAGCAAGCCAACTTCCTTTCTACATGGAATAATTATTTTTTCACATAAGCCCTGTAGTGCCTCTGCTGTGTTTGCACTTGTAAGTCTCAAACATTGCAGTACAGATTGCCCTTTATGAGCGGAGTCTAAGGTCATGTGTCTGCGTTTAAAATTCACTTTGCGTGGGATATCAAGCACTGGCCTGCGGATTCTGTAGGTGCAGGGGCTACAGGAGCCTGTATTTCAGGTGTGAAGAAAGCAGAGCCCTTTTTAGTATTTAAAGAACCCATGTGTGCAACTCACAGCTATGCGTACCTTTGGCAAAGATTTACAAATTCTGTTGATTCATAGCTGGCATCTCGCTGCCTGTAAGGGAAGGATTACATGTAAGTATAGATGACCTGTACATAACAGGACCATTTAGAGCATCACTAGAGCATAAAGGTAAAGTGAACTTGGGCACAGAAGCCATTATGCCTCTGTGGAAGAGAGGAAGACTTGTTGGCAAGAATATTGAAAGGCTTTTTGTCTGCTGTAGCCTAGGGCTCACAAGTGATTTTAGGTGTCTGGTGATCCATGCTGCTGTTTATTCTGTTCCAGCAAGGATTATGAACCCTAAGGTGGTTCAGAAATAGGCGATGGTGGGAGAAGTGGTTGTCACCAGCATGCCAAAGAAATATCAGAGATAGGAAGGCTTCTATCCTTGATTATGAATCCTGGGGCTTTCATGGATATAAAGTTGCAGCTAGAGTTGAAGAGGGTGTAGTGACACACAGACCTTTGGTCTAATAATTTTCTAAAGATTTAGCCAGGGTTGGCTTGCAGAAAGATGAAAAAAAGCAGATGAACCCCAAGGAGGACTGGTCATGCAGCCATCCTCAGTAGCCTTCATGAAGGAGGATATATTTTTTTCATTGCATTGAAAACTGTAACTGCTGCATGTCAGTGGTTTGAGCAGCAGTGTCGTGGCTACTCCAATATGTTCATTGCTGGAACTATCTTAAAACACTGTGCAACACCTGAAGAAATATTATTTAAGATGCCATTAGCAGCTAGGCTCCAGCCACAGTTTTGTGCTGGGCACACTACAATGGAGATGTGAGAGCCCATATCCTAGAAAGCTTTTTTTCTGCCTGTAGACACTTAACTTTGAAAGAGGAAATGGGTAAAGGTAATCTAGCATTTTTAATCCCATATGAGCTGGCTAGACCAGTGATATTCTTAATGGGTGTGAGATTGCAGTAAGATTGGGGCAGGCTGAGCTACAGGAAAATGTGATTAAACAGGAAAATTTTATTTCAAAAAAAAAAATGTTGTCAATCCACACTTAGTAGCTGGGCTTCAGTAGAAGGACCTCAGGAACAAAGGGTAAGACTGAATTTCAGTTTTTCTTACTATCTTTGCCACCAAATTCTTGTGTACCAATATACAAAACCTTTCACTGCTGTGTTAGAGCCAGAATTTACATGTCGTGCTGCTATGTGCCAGAATCCATTAATCTTGCACCTGGTAGCACAACAGGCAAGGGACAAACCCCAGGGTAATAGAGTGACTGTACTGTGCTGGTGCAAGAACCCCCGTGTAAGGTGAGTTCTGAGTCATGCAGAGTATGCATCTGTAGGAGCAGATTGTCATCATAACCTTGAGAGAAGAAAAAAAAAAAAAAAAAAGAATAAATTGAGGTAATATATCCAGTGGCACAGTATGGCAAAAACCAAATGGCTGTTCTGCAGTGAGGAAGGCAATCCACCAGCTTCTGAAATATAACAAGGTCTGAAAGGTGCTTGTCTTTGCTCAGAGGATTTTTTTTCTTTCCTTTTTTTTTTTTTTTTTTTGGTTCCCCCACATTTTTCCAGCATTTTAAAATCAGGAATGTTTACTATGGGAAACTATTAATGAAACCCAGTGGAATGGTGACAGGAGGGGTAAGTGCATATAAATTCAGGAATTGAACAGGCATATTCACTAGGAAGAAAGGTGCATTACCAACATCTGTTAACTAAAATATGGTAACGAGTTGGAGGTAAGAGTTTAAGGCTGTCCTCTGTGCTAACAGGCCCATGTGGGGAAACTGAGAGAGCCCTGGGGTGAAATTGCAAGCTGTCTGAATGCGGTGCTTAATACTATGGCTGTGTTTTTTTAAAGTACTATAAGAAAGATGCCTTTTTGTCCTAGCAAGGATAAAGCATTAAATGAGATGCTTTGCAAATGTTTAAATGTGGGCTTTTTTTTAATGTATTATTCGCCAGTTAATGTTTTGAGTAAAAATAATCATTGTGAAAGCTGTAAAACTTAACTCTTTGCAACTGATAATTTAATCGTAATTAAAAGGCAGCGAAGGAAACCTGAAACGTTTGGTAGTTTCACCTGAAAAGCTGAAGAAGCTATCTACTGAAAC